TTTTTTTGGACATTTTAAAGTCGGCTCACTGACTCACTTAGTCAAAGTTATGCCTGGGTTGCATCACAGTTAGCGGGAAACTGGACCTGCAGTATTATAGACCACAACACAGTGACGTATCATCGACTCGTTGACAAAGGTATCATTTACAAGAAATCAGTAAATCAATGTGAATAACTCTTAAACATCCCATTCTAACCAGAGCAAAGGGTCGCGTCGCAGCGTAACACAGGACGATTTAATAACCCACAATTAAGCGAGATCATATATCACGCCTGTTTTCACACATGATTGTGTGTTGCCGAAAGGCGAGAAACACCCCGCCGTCACCCTATTTGCGTAAGCCCACCCCTTCTTACTCATCGCTGCATGTGTGTAAGATGTACGTAAGATGTAAGTAAGATGTACGTAAGTCGGCATTGTCCTTTAGCCTACGGATTTTCACACAATTCTTTTGTCCTCTTAAGGGGCGTACGTAAGACAAGTTAATCGTTTTTGAAGTAAGCGTATCCGTAATGGCATCTTCTCTGCACAAAACTGTACATGTACAACTTATAGTTCTTCAAATTTTCTATTCAACTGATTTTCCCTTCTCTTCATAAATCTGTCACAGCAATCTAAGTTCTGACTGCCTTCAACAGGAAAAAGGAGTCCAGTAAAATAAATTAAACACCACATTCCGTACAACACTGCACGTATGACATTGGCAACGACTTGTCACTGAACAAGCAAGCAGTGGTGTCTTGTGATTAATTGACCTGCATTACTAGCGAAGGAAATGTCTATTTACCTGTGGGCTATCTTCGAATGCATCCTCAAGGTGAAGCTTCTCAATCTCTGGCATAATTTCAAGTTGTCAAAATCAGCAGCATTTGCAGTAAAAAGATGTCTTGGGGAGACTTCAACTACTACACTTGAAGTACTGTAGTAGGGGGCAGGGCCAATGTTATGACTTTGCAAGACACACCCAAGGTTAAGTCCATAAGATTTTTTTCGATTTCTCGTGAAATAGGTAAAATTCCATTGTTTCTTTAACTATAAGTGGCCTTTAGGTAAAATATACATGCTTCTTAACAGTTTAATGAAGCTTAGACTCAACAGAAATTCAGCAATTCAAAAAAGAAAAGTGAAAATTCCAAGATTCCCGAACAGCTGTCTGAATATCGACAGCAATTTTGTTTCCATTTTTATGACGTCACACCATCATGCCGGTCGAAAATTGGGAAGAAGAAGGATTGGAAAGAATACCTAACTTAGAGCTTGCTCAGTACAAGTTTTTGCTCTTAACTGACAAGTACAAAAATGACAAAGATGTCAAGAACAAACTCATGGAAGGGATCAAGGCCGATAGTAATTATAACACTTAAAATTTCAAAATTACAAGTAGACTTTCTCCAAATTTTGCAATGTCACGGATTTTGTCAATTTCTTTTGTTTTATTTGATTTTGTTTAGGGCTCTAAATTTGTGTTACATTACTACGGAGTTAAGATTAATATTGATATTATAAATGTAAATATGAGGTATTATAAAATACGGTATAATATGCAAATTAAATTCCTTGAGTGATAATGGATCATGAGAGCCCCTTGAAGTTGAAAGGGGTTACTGCATGGTCATGAATGCCAAATATGAGAACATTAGATATATATTTCATGCTAAAGAATTGTCAAATTCTCAATATTCCAGATATGTCTCCCTTCTATGAACAAGTTTGTCAAGAGATGGGATGGAAGGTTGATGCCAAACTGTTGCAGAATATGAAGAAAGCAAATGAAGATGAACTCAAAAAGCTAGATGCGGCAATTGAAGATGCTGAGAAGAATTTGGGAGAAACAGATGTCAGAGATGCCATGTTGGCAAAGTCTTTATATCTCAGTAAAATAGGAGATAAGGTGTGAAATAAGCAGAACTTAACAAGTTCTTTATCTCTGTTTAAAAAACATAATGAAATAATTATTGTAATAAATTAAATGTTTTCATAACAAATAATGGTCAAGTACTATAATTACAAAACTTCACAAATTGATAACTGACAAAAAACACATTGATATTATTGAAATAATTGCTAGAATAATATTTTTAGATAACCAAGTCAGTTGAGTTATTTTTATTTGCAAATTAAATGAAGATTAAAGATGGAATGATTCACCAGTCATCAAGTTTGACATATATGAATTTTAACACTGACGGAAAATGTTTATTGAATTTTTTTAGGAAGCAGCTCTCAGTGAATTCCGCAAGACAAATGAGAAGGCCATAACAGTGGGCAACAGGCTTGATATTGTATTCCATATTCTTCGTATAGGACTCTTCTACCTGGATAACGATCTCATTACTAGAAATATAGAAAAAGCACAAAGGTGAACATTATCATACCCTTTTGGACATGATTAATGAAATAATCAAAATTTTATTTAATAGAAAAGAATGGAAATTTTGTTTGATAATCTGAAGAAAAATTAAATAACATTTTTGCTTAATGCTATGAAATTATGAGAATTGATCTGTTAGTTTGCATTAAACTTGATACTTTATAAGTTAATATAATGGGTTGTTCTTGTTATTTGGGGATTTTATAAGTATATCATTAGTATCAACTCAGTAAGTTCTATATAGCATTAGATTTCTGACTTTAAAATGTTGTAACAGTAATTTAAAAACATAGGCATTGGTCTTTGTTTCATACATATACTTTATCACACTTTTCTTTTATGTGGTACTTTGGTACGGTTTTTGTTACCTCTGCCAAGGAGGTTATTGTTTTCACCCCTGTTTGTTTGTCATCAACATAACTCAATAAGTTATGGACCAATTTTGATGAAATTTTCAGGAACTGTCAGAAGTGAGCCAAGGAAGAGATGATGAGTTTTTGGTGGTGATCTGGATCACTAATCAGTCTATAATCAATAATAATAAAAAATCGCTGCCTTGGCGGAAGTCTGCACTCTCGGAGCGCTTTTCTAGTTTCATGATATTTTCTACTCTGGCATTTTGACTGAGAAATCTTTTTGTGTGTCATTTCAGTCTTATAGACGAAGGGGGAGACTGGGACAGAAGGAACAGACTTAAGGTCTACAGAGGTGTCTACTGTATGTCAGTGCGAGACTTCAAGAATGCCGCCAACTACTTTCTGGAGACTGTGGCAACTTTTACCTCGTATGAGCTAATGGACTACAAATCTTTTGTGGCGTACACAGTTATATGTTGTATGATAGCACTGGAGAGGCCAAATCTGAGGGAAAAGGTGAGTGAAGTGACATGCACTTTCACTGGTAAATAAATAAATTGTAGACATTTGATAATTAATTTTTCTGGATAACTTGTTACAGTTATCATAAGGTGTATTGTGTGGAAGAATAGAAATTGAGTCAGCTTTGAAATTAATATTATAATTTTGAACCTCATGATAAGGCATTGGATTAAGAAGAAGGTGAAGTTAATTAATATAGGCAGCTCTTAATTTGTTTTTATTTTTATTTGTGACCAAAAGCGATATTCATATATATTAATATATTTTAGGTAATAAAAGGCTCTGAGATCCTAGAAGTTCTTCACAGTCTCCCAGAGACCCGACAGTTCTTGTTTTCACTGTACGACTGTCACTATGCGCAGTTCTTTAAGTCATTAGGTGAGCAAATTGATTTAGTTCTATGCCATTTACAACACTTTATTGCAAAGTGAAGTCTACATGAAATATGAAATCTACAGCATTAACACTGGGCCCATGCTAAATGCCAGTAAAATTGGGACTAGGTTAGAAAAAAAATTTTATTAATTACTTACCTCTCTGCCTTGGACCCATAGATTCTTAGACCTCAGTGGGTCAAAGAAAGAGAAAGTTGAAGCTTTCTTGGCACAGCAAGTGAAAGATATATGGTTGATTTATGTAACTACCTTTTTAAAGTGATAATAAACACGATTTTGACCTTTTTTTTTTTTTTCAAAGAAAAAGAGAACAATTTAAAAAATCTTATCCTCAACAAGCATTTTGTCATCAATTATCATCATTTCACCAAAATCCAAAATTAGAACTGGCAAATAAGAATGCAATTTTTAGACTACTTTTTTAAAACTTGTCTTTATGACCACATACAGACTTTGTATACTTCCTTTTTATTTTAGAGCATGGATATGAATTTTTATTTGAAATAAGATGTAACATACCTTTTCATTTTTTTTATACATTAAATCCTTTATTTCCAACCTTTCAGCCGCCACTGAGGAGTTCCTAAAGTATGACCGCCTTCTGTCGCCACACTATCGCTACTATGTGCGTGAAATGCGTATCCTGGCGTATGCACAGCTTCTAGAATCTTATCAGAGTTTGACACTGGACTATATGGCAAGGGCGTTTGGTGTCAGCATTGCATTTATAGACCAGTAAGTCCACTAAATGATTTTTTGTCAAACTTATGATAAATTTAGGTGCACAATATTGAATAACAGATAAGATTTCTAAGTCGATGTTTATGTGATAATTTTTGGTCTTATAGCGCCATTTCTAGACTTGTTATAAAACAGGTGCTGTTGTTTCTTTCTTTGGACAAATAGCAAATCGTCTTTTGTCAAAGTGAACTGAAATGTTAAGCTAAAAGTTTAGATCAGCTTTCTATTAGAAGTTGTTTTTTGAGACAGACTTCTGCTTGTTACATAATTGTTCCAAAAATTATCCTTCAGAGAGCTTTCCCGTTTCATAGCTGCTGGGCGCCTGCACTGTAAGATAGACAAAGTTGGTGGTATTGTAGAGACTAACAGACCTGACAGCAAGAACTGGCAGTACCAGGTAAGGCTTGGGGATATGAAGGTTGAAGTTGATACCTTGGAAGGGAATTAATGGGCATTAGCAGAAAAAAGGGGAGTTCTGAAGTGGTCTGCATGATATTAATTTTCCCACAGTTTTAAGATGGGGTATGCCTTTCTTGGTGAATAAAGGAAAATTGTTGAAACTTCCAGGATTTTTTAAAGCTATAGAAAGATCTAATGCTTATTGTATACCTTTAAAGTAATTGACTCTTAATACTGTAAATTAATATTATGATAATGGTTGAGCAAAAAAAAATTAATAATGTCAATTTCTTTTCACAAAGTTGATATGGATTGTGTGCACATGCTAACACACACTCACATACACACGAACAGGCCAGAGTTGGAAATAGACATGTTAGAATAAACGAATATGAGCACTGTGTCAACACATAATCAACACTTTTAAATGTGGCATATGTATATGTACGTACACACCACCCAATTGAGCATTTCTTTAAAGATGCATTGATATCTTATTGATATGGAATGTTTTACTCTTTCCAGGCGGCTATAAAACAGGGAGACTTGTTGTTGAATAGGATACAGAAGCTGAGCAGGATTATTAACATATAATTACTAGACTCGAGGGTCAATCAGATGGAATTATTAAGACATAGACTGTTGGGAAGCGTTGCATGCCGTTACATTAGCTTAATGAATTGATAAATGTCAGTGTAAAAATATCAGATTAAATCTGTCAAGATTTCTATTTGATGAGGCGGCTGCCAGATTGATGGAGGTGGAAGAAAAGGAATTCTGAGGAATGTCAGCACTTATAGAATGGAATGGCGTGCAGTCAATCAACAAGGAAAAACATTTTATTTATTTATTTTTGGTTTAAGGAAATATTTTGCTCTGGTTTGTTCAACTGAAATTCTGACTTAAATGCAACGTTCTATCAATGTGCATGAACATTATAAATCGGATTATATTGCTGACCACTTTTTTTGGTAAAAATAAAAGCGTATGTAAAAAAGATGCATTTAAATCCAGTTTATCTTTTTTATCTTGAAAGAAAAGCAAAAGAAGCTCGATACTCTTCATTGAAAAAATCTGATAACAACTCAATGTAATTATCAGTGGTCATTATCTGAGACAAAAAATTATAAACATGCATAAACATTCAAAAATTTAGCAAGTTATTGTTCAATTATATTAAATGGCAAAATATTATCAAAATTATGGGATGATGAAAATATACTACTAACGACAATGACAAAAACATTGAAAAAGAAGTATCAAAATGTCATTTTTACATGTGGCTGGGGTTTGGAATAAGACAGCGTTATATGTACAGTGTTCATAGGTCTACATTTATCTCGACCAGAATACGAAGGGATTGTTTGTAAATAACGGAGACGTATAAGCAGAGATCTTTAGACTTATCCTATTCCTATGGTGGCCCGTCATATTTCCATTCACTGTTATTGCGTGCACGTTTCATCATTTGGTATTTGATCGAGTCGTCGTCGAGCATTGGACTTTGAAGACAATCGCCCACAAAGAACTCGTGAAACCATTCTGTATACCACAGTTCTATACGTCCTCACACTAAAGCAGTAAAAGAAAAAGTTTGACGCATGGTTAACATAGAACAACAATATGAACACTGAGAACAACATTGAACTCCGAGCACGACTGTCTAAATCCTTCCCCTTAAACACATCAAGGATATCCGACTGGATCAGATTAAAACCGCTGGTCAGAAAAATAAAGGCTAGCGTTACGGTTAGAAGCATGTATGAAATCCCTCTATTTGTCGATAGTATAATCAAGGAGTTATAAACTCCTTGTTATAACTCCTTGGTATAATCTCTCGCGATGTAACCAAGGGTGTCGCTATGCTGGAAGTAAGGCGCGTGTCGTCGTTGATGAAATATCTGGTCTGTTTCTTCAGTTCAAACGCTATGAGGATGTTGAGCAGTGGTAATAAAATCACAGGAATTATCCAGTACAGAGATAGAGCAATCCACCTGTGGACCCGCCAGTAACGGAGAGTTGCGGTCCGATTTGTAAGAGTTAGCATCCTTTCGCTATCATCAAACACGTTCCAGCAAACTTTCATTCCACAAACATTGAAGTATATATCCGAGGCTAAAATCTCGAGATTTAAAATGAACAGCATAGAGCCTATCACAACTATTACCATGGCGGAATGTTTGACGGTGCAAAAGACCGCGTTCGTGGTTGGAAAGCGCAGTTTCATATAACGCTCAGCGGTCATGGTAGTGACGAGGAGTGCGCTGAATTCGGGACCCCAATAGAGAATAAAAACCGAAAACTTACAGACAAAACTACTGGAAGTCAACACGTCTGCCCCCAAGTCTTGCTGGATCCAGGGCAAAAACCCGTTCAGAACAGTTAACAAATCTCCGATGGCGACCGCAATGAGAAAAATGCAAGTGGGAGTACGGCGAAGTTGTGGTCTGCTGAAAACTACGATAGCAATGACATTGAAAATGGTTCCAAGAACCGAAACCGTTGGTCGACCGTACAGGCGAATCGTCTCGGCTGCACACAGAAGACCATTGCCGGTTTGCTCGCACAGCTCCTTACTCGTCTGCCCTTGGTCCTCTAGAATAACCGTGCAGTTTATACCATTGTCGCTTTCTGGAAATCTTTCCCCGCCTTCGAATGTCTCGTTTGCTTCAAAATGAAATATTGCCATTTTCACGAAGCTCTCAGATCTCTTAGTTTCACAAGATAGGCTAGTGTTGCATACATAGAATGAGAGGCACCACTTCCGTATTTAGTAGCTGAATCATTGCCGCCTGACTATAAATATGCGACCTCTGCAGTTTGCTGTAGCTTTCTGTTACGGCAATAATACATAATCAGCAGAGCATATCAGTTAAGCATACGTATTCGATAATATGGCTAACAATCGAAACACGGAAAATCCCGGAATCGTCAACGATAAGTTATTAGTCCTTTTGGCATTTTGTTCGACCGGGGCAATAACAATATGCAGGGCTATTGATGATGCAGGGCTGTGGGGGATGGGAGGGGCTGTTAACATTATTATGGAAGAAGTTGTGTACCGATTTGATGATTTTTTAGAAACTTTTGGGAGGGGACCAAATGACAAACGATGAGATTTGGTAGTAATCCATTAATTTTTATTAAATTAAAATTAACTAATTGATAAATTGTTGATTATTAGTTACTTATTTGTTTGTCTGTCTGTTAGCAACATTACCGAAAAAAGGTTGTTATGGATAACAAGGATTTTGATTAGTTTTTATTTATTGCGTAAATCAAAAATTGGCTTGATTTTGTAGGTGATGCATTAAATTAATTAGGTTATTTATTGATAAAAAAACGAGAATTGACTTTATTAATTGTGTAACAAATTGTTGATAATAATGAGAACTGCACTGCTTTGGCTGAGATCAGCGCGCGCTCTCTGAGTGCTTCTCAATTATTTTTATTGAATATTAGAATTTTCCCTCCTTGTCTATCAGAAGTATTTTATTTGAATTTCAGTCTGGGTTTAGGTATAAAACTCGTAAGGAAAACTAGCTCCTGCGTGCTGCCTTTCTTACTAAACACATTCGGTTATCACATCTATCGCAATCATTGAGCTCCTTGTGGGAGTAACTGCTTGACGTAGTAATCTTTCAATCCGGTAACAATGTGTAAATGTCTAACGAATCATGTTGATTTATGTATACATGTACCTCCCATATATTTATTATTCGGTTCGTGCCGTACCTCAGCATTTCCATCTCGTTTAAGTTCCCGGTTTCAGCTGTTCTAGGTAAACAGGCCTATCAGTCTATAAAACGTTTCTTACAAGTACTGATTATGTGGCCTAGTTAACCCGAGGGCGCCGTAAAAGTATAAACAGGCATGTCCGCAGATTTTATTCGAATTATCTGACATGTAGGGCATTTGTTCACACCTCCATCTTGTGATTTCTAGGCACTTTTAATTTAATGCGGCAATCTCCTCAACCGAGCAGCGTTGCAGATCCCTGACAAAACGCAGCAAAGTCGAAAGAAGCGGTGCTAGGATGGCTGGCCTGCTGCAGTACTTTTGGGCAGAGGCAAGGCAGCACAAGGAAACCATAGTGATATTTAGTAGGTAGGTTGAGTAAATAATAAAATTGGAGACAAGTTGCAGACTTTGATAAGCAAGTAATATCGGTATCTTTATTCAGCTTTACCCTCCACACTGTATGTATAAATGAATGTTTGGAACAATATTGTAGCTAGCTTACTTTTAATTTGTTTGGTTTTTAGTTTTTTTAAATCAACAGATTAAAATCTGTTAATTATCTTACCTCTAAATACTGTTAGTTTACCAGTACATGGGGTATGCTGCATCAGTGGCAGATATGGGGGATGGGGGGGTTCAGGGGGGTCCTGCATGACCCCCTCTTCAGTTTCAGAAAAATATATCACACCAATATTCCCCTGAAATCAGACTTTTGACTACCTGAATCATAGTTCTAAACTGTTCTGTTCTGACAAAGTTTTTTTGCACAACTTGGTCATCAAACAGTCGATCAGCTACATCTACATGTATATATGCATTCAACTCTCCATTCCCCAGGGCTAATATGGAGCAGGAATTATCTGTTTCAATCTGCATCAAACATAGAAACATTGCTTTACTCGATCACTGTGAGTAGTTTAAATTAACACAGCTAAGCTTTTTTTTTTTTTTTTTTTGTAATTTTCTTTTCTCTTTGTTCCCTCTCTAAGACCCCATTTCCAGAGATTAGATCGATCTACTTTAGATCGACCTAACTCCCTGGGGGTTCACGCTAAATAGCTGTCAGCCGAGCGGGCACGAAAGTTAATTACCCCCTTACAGCTTGTAGTAGGCGGGACGGACATTTAAGCCGGATTAACTGACAGTAATCTAGTGAGACTCGATCCCCGCGGGGATAGATCGATCTAAAAGCTCTGGGAATACGCCCTATTTCTATAGGTATCCTGTGCCAGGCAAAGCCAAGACAAGACTCATCCCACTTCTGGGTGATGCTGGGGCCGCACTAGCTCAGAGGTTCATGGTTAGTTTGGAATGGTATAACTGGCACCGTGCCAAATGCTAATAAACTTGGAACCGGCCAGTAAATTTTTTTTTTAATTTGTACAGTTACTGGTCAGCCATATATATACCTGTAGGTTTCTGTTGTCTACTAGAATTTAATTTCTTTATTGACAGCGGGCAGGAGACTTTGTAACTAAATAGTGTGAATTTTGAAGAAAATAAAGTTTTTAAATTGTGAGATGTTTGAAATTTGTGTATAATTACCTTATTCATTAATTTTATTTATTTATTTATTTTTTATTTATTTATTTATTTACATTTTCAGACAGAGCATATTCTAGATGTTGTCCATAGGTTCCAGTGTCAGCGCCAGTCTGTCAGGGTGGAAATACAATACTATGGGGGCACAGATAGTCAGATGAGGTACTGGATGGACAGAAGAGTGGAGAAAAATATGTCATGGAAACCACAAAGAGGAGACACCCTGGGGGACAAGATAAAGAATGCTTTTGAATATCACTTTGCTCAAGGAGAGGAGAGAGTGCTAATAGTAGGTATGCCAAACTTCATGGAACAAACTGATACTTAATTCTTTGTTGAAATATACAGAAACCTGAAAAATGTTGGAGATTCTGGACAAATTTAAAGCACAGCAATTAAAGTAATACAGCAAACATAATAACTTTTCTGAGAATTTCATCAATTTTCCCTAAAGCATTATTCTATATGTACCATAACTAACACATTTTCCAGAACAAGAATCCATAAAACCCTCTCTGAGTTTTAATTTTAAAACTGAATTGATAAGATAGGATGAATATTTGTATTCTAGGTAGTGATATTCCAGGAATCAGTGTAGAAATCTTGGAGGAAGCTCTGGACATGCTGCGGTCAGAGGCTGGTCAGATGGTCTTAGGAAAGGCCCTGGATGGGGGATACTACTTAGTTGGACTGCAAAGAAAGACCAGGGGAAGGCTGGGTAGGGATGCACTATAATTCTTAACTACATATTATTGGTATATTACCAGGACTTTCACTTGAAAATAAAGACTGAATCAAAACTTTAAAGAGCTTTTTAAAAACTAGAAAAGCACTCCGAGAGCCAAACCTCTGCCAAGGCAGCAAATTTTGATTATTATTGATTATTGATTGATTATTGATCCGGATCACCACCAAAACTAATTATCTCTTCCTTGGCCCACTTCTGGCAGTTCCTGAAAATTTCATCAAAATCGGTCCATAACTTTTTTTGAGTTATGTTGATGACAGGCGGACAAACAGACAAACAAACAGGGGTGAAAACAACCTCCTTGGCGGAGGTAATTAATATTGTGTTTGGATACTTGCTCTTCATATATAATTTCATTAATTGGGTCTGCAGGACAAAAAAAATGACAAGAATCATAGATTTTTCCAAATTATACCATTAATATTGGATTTTATATATATATATATATATATATATATATATATATATATATACACTGATGCTCATAAGTTAAGCAACATCCCGATTTTTTCAAAAGTTTCTTCTATCATGATCATTAAGTATTTCATTTGTTGGTGGGGTTATGCATATTTCTTTCATATTTTATAACTAACTTATTCAAATTGAATATTTCTGTTAAATATATACACAACATAGCTTATTGTAATAATCAAAATAACTTTATTAACCAAACGGTACTAAAATATGCCAAACTATGTGTCAAAAAAGTATGCTCACACAGCAAAAAGTACGTGCTGATTAAAACAGCTAATTATGAAAAAATAAAGTTCGATCATCTAAGAATTAGTTTTAATAAAAGAAGACTGTAGATAACAGATGATTAATCGTCTATTATGCAATAAATATCGGGTGTGCCTTCCCTGGTTTTGAACAACAGCTTCACATTGTCTCCTGCAACTTGCCACCAAATTCTGCCAATCTTGCTTTGAGAGCCGGTTCCATTCTTCATTTACTGCCTGCTGGACCTCTCTAATGTTTCTAACTGGAGGTTGTCTCTCATTTACTGCCCTGTCAATCATATCCTAAGCATG